GTGGGCGGGCTGAGGCTGCGGACCGGGCGGACCCGGGACGCCTGCGGAGCCCAGGTCCTGGCCGCGGGCGGGAGGGCTGCCCGCAGCCACGTGCTGAGCTAACACTCCCTCCGCCCCGGCCCCGGGCGAGCAGCCCCTCCCCGCATTCCTTGCCGCGGTGGCTGCGGGTTGCAGTCGGACAGGCAGCCCCGCCGCTGTCCCGTCGCCGGTCTGCAGTGGCGACCGGCTCTCAGCTGCTTATTTACCATCTTAGTGGCAACCCTTTTCCTCCGGTTGTTATGAAATTATTCTGAGATAAGATCAGCGAGGTCTGCTGACAGCGAAGTTAGCGTTTGCGCTGTGCACACAGCTGTCTGTGCCCCGGCTTGCGGCATGGCGGAATTCGTGGACATCTGGAAACGAGGGAGACCATTCAAACTTGGAGTCATTTCATCTTGGTGGCGGCAAGCTCCATGTTCATTGGGGCTTGTCTGATTACTTCGTTTGACCAAGTTGGTGGTGTTTTTTCAGATGCATTCGATCCAGGACTTGATGACCTGTTCCTTTAAGAGCAGTTGCTATTTGTAGCATCTGAGCAGGCTCACTTTATTCCTTTGGGTGGTTTTTTCGTATTTCACTAATTAAGTCAAAAGGTGATGGGAATCATTTACCTTCCCTCCCTATGCCCTGTATAGTACGGTCAGGACTGTCAGCCGAAAATAAAGCCGCAGGAAGGTTGAAATAAACATTGCAAAAATCTGTCACCAAGAAATAGCGTGGGGGGAAAGGATAACATAAGAGTGTCAAGAAAAAGGGTGTGGAGTAGTTCTGCTTTCTTTGCCTTGCAAATGAGAGTCCTTAGAGATGACATTTTGCAGTTAAAAGAAGAGATTTGGGGCCTGTTTTCATTCCAAATAAAGTAATAAAGTGTCACAAAATTAAGAGAAATGGATATGAACATTGTGTTTTATTTTGGATAATGCTGCAGGTTAAAACAGTCTTTCAATATGTTCTTCTCATGTTTAGATAGCAAATTCCCAAGAAGAAGATGATGGATTGCACATCAGTTGTTCTCTAAGTGCCTGGACTCAGCAGTGTGCAGATTTGTTGCAAAGCCCCGAAGAAGATGGCAACTCCTTACGTCCCAGTTCCCATGCCCATAGGGAGTTCTGCTTCCAGCTTCACAGCCAGCAGAAACCAAAGAAGTTCCTCTTTGGGGAGCCTCTCAACAAGCTCAAACTCTTCCAAAGGCCAGTTGGAAGACTCAGATACAAGAACCAGGAAACAGACCAGTGCACCTGGTCAAAGGGATAGCGCCTCATCCGTCTGTAGCAGCCCCCTCCTTAGGACTAAGTTTACAGATGCCGATTCTTGCGTTGAGTATTCGACTAGACCAAGAGAAAGTGAAGAGCAGAATCCTGAAACAGTGAATTTGGAAGATAGGCCTTCTACCCCTACTATTCTGGGTTATGAAGTGATGGAAGAAAGAGCGAAATTCACTGTGAGTATCGACCTTTGCTGCACTCCCGTAGAAAGTGAAAGACTGACTCGCCTTATTCTACACTTGTATTAAATTGATTGACGTTAGTATGTACTTGTAATTTCCTAAAGATGAAATTCACATGGTCTTGTCATTGTAGTAAACTTTTGTTTTACTTGAATGAATTGGCACAAACCAGACATATGTGTGAGACTAGCACACAGGTCAAGAAAGAGCGTAACTAGCATCCAGAACCAGCACCAGGCTCTCCTCCAGGCAGCACCCTCTTTGCTGACAGGCTCCGTGAACGTTGCCTACGTCTGTACCTTGCGAAAGTGGAATCGTGGAGCACGTACTCTTGGGTGTGTTTCTTCAGCATTGTATCTGTGAGACTCCTCCTTGACCTTGCATGTGATCCCAGGCAGCACATTTTTATTACTGATTCTATTCCTTTACGTGAATGTTCATCCATCCTCTGGTGGCAGGGCACTTGGATAATTTCCAGTTTGAGGCTCTTGAAAGTACTACTGCTATGAACCTTTAGTACTTGTAACTCAGTAAACTCATAGGTGCATTTCTGTTTGATATCAGCCGAGGAATGAAATTGCTGGACCATATACCCAACTTTAGAAGATACGGACGATGCACCAGAAAGGTTGTACTAATTTACACTAGTAGGCTGTGTATGAAGTTCCAGCTACTCCACACCTTCCCAACATAGCGTGCTTTCCATCTTTTTCATGTTGGCGATTCCAGTGGGTAGAGTGATATCACCTTGTGGTCTAAATTTGCATTTCTTAATGACTAATTAATCGATTTTGGCCATTTGGGTATTCTCTTTTGCGAAGAGTCTGTTCAAGATCTTTTCCACTTTATGCATAGTTTTCTATGCATTTGGGACATAAGTCTTTTTTCAGAACATGTATCATATCATCTCACTCTCTGCTTTGCCTTTTCATTCCCTTAGTGATGCATTTGATAAATAAACTCTATCCACTGAGCCAAACCGGTTAGGGCAAGGTTCTTACTTTTTTTTATTTTATTGCTTAAAGTATTACAAAGAGTATTACATATGTCTCCTTTTTTTTTTTCCTTTTTCCCCCGCCCTTGACAATCCCCTGGCCTCCCCTACCCCCCAGGGTCTTATGTCCATTGGTTATGCTTATATGCATGCATACAAGTCCTTCGGTGGATCTCTTACTTTTAATGTAGTCCAGTGTATGAACTTTTTCTTATATGGTCAGCACTCTTTAAAATCTGCCTACTCCCTCTGGACAATGTCCTATGTTTTCTTCTGAAAGCTTTATTGTTGGGCCTTTCATACTTCGATCTGAAAACCATCTGGAATTAAGTGTTTTCCATGGTGTGGGGCAGGGTCAAGGCCTTGCTTTCTCCGTGTGCGTTCCAGTGAGCAGGCTTTTATTGAGAAGACCACTCTTTCTCCTCTGCATTTGCATGTTGCTTATGACACAGATCAGATGACCTTAAATGTGTGGGTCTGTTTCTGGGTTCCATTTTCTCCTCCTTTGCCAATTCCCCAGTCCTGAGTATTAAAGCTTCTTGGTAGGCCTTGCTGCTGGCAGCCCTCGTGCTCCAGCTGTGGTGTGCTGCAGGACTGTGGCTGCTCCGGACCCTTGGCATTGGGATTGGGTCGAACCCAGACCAACCTGGCAAAACTGACACCTTTACAGTACTGCATTTGAATCTGTGAACTCAGTCCTTTACTTAGTCACTTATTTTTTATAATGACGTTCTGTAGTTTTCAGGGCAGAGGTCTGACATCTTTTGGTTAGATTTATGTGTAGGTGTGGATGTTGGATGTTCCCAATTGCTTTTGCTTTCTTTTTTCTTTTTTGTTCTTTGCTAGTTTGAATTTTTCCAGCTTATGTGGTTATGTATACAGCAACTTTGCAAATTCACATATCAGTTGAAATAGCCTGTTCTTTCTCTTGTATTTCCTTGAGGTAGAGTTTATATGTTTATGCCATTTCATGCTGCAGATTTACAGCAGTACACAGCGGTTCTCAATCTGTGGGTCATGACCCCTTTGGCGTTCGAACGACCCTTTCACAGGGGTCGCCTAAGACCATCCTGCATATCAGATATTTACATGACGATTCACAACAGTAGCAACATTACAGTTATGAAGTAGCAACTCAAATAATTTTATGGTTGGGTCACAACATGAGGAACTGTATTTAAAGAGCCAGAAGGTTGAGAACCACTGGTACAGAAGGACCTGCAAGAAAAAAATCATTCAGAAAATTCATGAAGAGACGATCTTTACAGTTAAATTATCGTAAGAGTGACGATGTGTTGAGAAATCTTCATGAACCTGACGTTTTTTTAAAAAAAATTTTAATATATTTTTATTGATTTCAGAGAGGAAAGGAGAGGGAGAGATGGAAACATCAATGATGAGAGAGAATCATTGATCAGCTGCCTCCTGCACGCCCCACACTAAGGATCGAACCCGCAACCTGGGTATGTGCCCTGACTGGGAATCAAACCATGAACTCCTGCTTCATTAGGTTGATGTGCAACCACTGAGCCAAGCCGGCCGGGCCTGGCTTTTTTAGAGTGATTTTCAAAATTACAATAAACTGGTGGTTCATATTCTCACATTGACTCATCGAGGTGACGTGTGTGAAAATGCAAGTTCCCAGGCAAATTTAAGGCCGTGGCACATAGTCTTTCAAGACCTCAAAGAGGAAGGGGTAACAGCAGATACAAGATTAGTCCTGTTCGTTAGTGGTTCATTTAACATTTTTTGAGTACCAGGCACGATGACCTTTGATCCCCCTTACGATTATCTCAGATCAGGACTTTCTGGGCACTTTAAAGGGTCCTCACTTTTATATGTTACACAGATAAATCACTTGTGTTTTACTTCAAAGTTAAAGGATTCATCTGTCACCCTTATGTCCTCCCCTTAAAAGCTGAAAGAAGTCTGTCTGTAAGGGGGGGAGACTAAGGTTGGTGTGTGGTCCCTATACAGTCAGCACTATCCACTGGCCACATTTCAGGTACAGTCAGTGCTGGCCACATGGACTGGCCACGTTTCAGGTACAGTCAGCACTGTCCACGTGGACTGGTAATGTTTAGGTGGCCAGTAGCCTCGCGGCTGAAGTGCAGCTTCAGAGCCACAGTGGGAAGTTATTGCACAGCCGACTTCAGGACAAGTTACCTGTTAGAAGAGTGTCCGTCATTTGGCAGATGCTGTCGTCTTCATAGCTTAGCCCAGAATACTGTACCAGAAACTACCACATTTTTCTTGAGATTCTGTTATAAAAAGTACTTCCTCATAATAAACTCTAAAATTATATTTATGAAAAATAGAATCTAGCCCTAGCCAGCTTGGCTCAGTGGATAGAGCGTCAGCCTGAAGACTGAAGGGTCCCGAGTTCGATTCCGGCCAAGGGCACATGCCTGGGTTGCAGGCTCGATCCCCAGTGGGGAGTGTGCAGGAGGCAGCCGATCAATGATTCTCATCATTGGTGTTTCTATATCTCCCTCTCTCTTCCTCTCTGAAATCAACAAAGAAATATATTTAAAAAGATAGACTCTAGTTATTCTTATTGTAAGCTTTTTAAAATAGTGACATGCTTCAAACAAGTTTTTCTATTCAATAGCCTAGATAATTGTGCATAATTATAGAAATGTAAACTTTTATCTAATGTGGATATTTTTTAGCTTGTATTTCAGCTCTGAAGATTAAAACATCAAATTTATTTCAAAATTTTGCCTTGTAGTGTTGAGTTTAAAAATTAATTTGATTATATAAGACAAGAGTGGCTGTGTTTCATAGCTTTTTTAGGCATGAGTTATTCTTTTTATGAGTTTAAAATATGTGGCATAAAATATATTTTGGAAACTGATAAGTTCATTTATTATTAGTGTGCACCAAAAAAGGCATTTTGTCACAGATTTATCATAGTCTTGTTTCTTAAGAAAAAAATCTTGCTTTTTGTGCCTACATCAAATATTTGTACATTTCAGGTTTTAAATTATTTCTGATATTATTTTTAAATATATTTTATTGATTTTTTACAGAGAGGAAGGGAGAGAGATAGAGAGTTAGAAACATCGATGAGAGAGAAACATCGATCAGCTGCCTCCTGCACACTCCCCACTGGGGATGTGCCTGCAACCCAGGTACATGCCCTTGACCGGAATCAAACCTGGGACCTTTCAGTCCGCAGGCTGACGCTCTATCCACTGAGCCAAACCGGCTTCGGCTATTTCTGATATTTTTTACATGGTAATTGTTAGGACCTAGATTGTTGAGTAAAAGTTTTTTAGATATTTGATTTGAATTTTTAAATATCTTTACACATATCTTTAACCCTCCCCTATTGTAGGTATATAAGATACAAGTAAAGAAAAACCCGGAAGAAAGCTGGGTAGTTTTCAGAAGATACACGGACTTCTCCAGGCTTAATGATAAAGTAAGTACTTAACAAATCTAAAACTAGCTTTTCACTTTTGAATTATTATCTGTTTCACACAATTCATCTGTTATATTTGTGTTTTTTCTTCCTTGTGAATTATTTAAATGAAGATAACCCTTTGCTAGTTCCTAAGAAAATACCGTTTCAGCCATAACCGGTTTGGCTCAGTGGATAGAGCGTCGGCCTGCGGACTGAAGGGTCCCAGGTTCAATTCCGGTCGGGGGCATGTGCCTTGGTTGCGGGCACATCCCCAGTGGGCGGTGTGCAGGAGGCAGTTGATTGGTGTTTCTCTCTCATCATGTTTCTAACTCTCTATCTCTCTCCCTTCCTCTCTGTAAAAAAAATCAATAAAATATATTTTTAAAAAAAAGAAGAAAAGGAAAATACCGTTTCATTTCACTTTAATAGCCTGAAGTCCCATCTCTACACATAACTTTCTTTTTTGAAAACAAAAACTAAAAATGTGAAAATCTTAACCTTATTAGCACAAATGTAATTAAGATGCACCTGTTTATTATCTGGTGTGATTTGAGTGGGCTCAGCTGGGTCAGCTGCTGAGGCTCAGACATGGTCAGTATTAAGCTCTGGGCTCCACTCGACTCTTATCTGGAGGCTCCGGGAAAGAATCAGCTTCCAGGCTCATTCAGGCTGTTGGCAGAGTTCTCTTTCTCGGGTTGTAAGGCTGAGGTCCCTGCGCCCTCGCTGGTTGTCAGCCAGAGGTGGTGCTTAGCTCCGGGAGCCACTCTCCAGCCCTGTGCCGGCCAACAGCAGCCCAGCCAGGGAGCCCAGGCCTCCTGCTGGCATCTCGGACTTTCTCCTCTGCCACCAGCACAAGGAAGCGCAACTGAAAGTGCTCCTGTGATGAGATTAGGCTCACGGATAATGTCCCTGTGCCACCAGTGATCCCCGTTACAGCTGCAGAATCCCTTTCACTGGGAAAGGTGGCAAAATCACAGCAGCAGCACCAGGGCAGAGGTCATGGGTCCTTTTTGGAAACTTGTTTATAGAAACATCAAATGCCTGTTATGATGTCATTTTTGCAGGAAATGTGTTTTAATGTAATGAAAGATAAAAACTAGCATTTATTAAAGTTATTTTAAGCTAATGTATAGTTTCCAAATTGTACTTTATTCAAAATAAAGTTGTTAATTACCCATATTCTATAGTACAGAGTACCTATAATATAAACAGTTTGTGAGGAGTTAATTGTGGGACATCTTCCTCTAAGGATAATTTTTAAGGAGGAAAAACGCCTAACTATGTGTGTGGTCATATGGGACATTTAAATTTTAATGCTCAAACTTAATGAAAAGATTTTTTATTTCCCCTTCACGCCTTTTATTATTTTCACTACAAACATCTACACTAATAAAAGAGAAACATGGTAATTGGTGTACGACCGCTACCCTTTTCATTGGCTAATCAGCGAGATATGCAAATTAACTGTCAGCCAAGATGGCGACCGGCAGCCAGTCAGCTTGAAACTAACATGAGGCTTGCTTGCCTCAGTGACGGAGGAAACCAATGTTCCCCGTCTGCGGCCACAGGCCTCTGAGCCTGCAGTTTAAGAAACTCTGTAACAAATACCACCGGACTTCAGCCAGCAGGATTGCAACATTGTCAGCAAAGGCCAGAAACCTACTTTCTGCCACGGAGGCCTAAGAGCTGGAGCCAAGCCTTAAAGCTAAAGCTGGCCCAGAATAAAC